CAGGATATCAGATTAGATTTAAAAAAAAAAGCAAGACTCATCAATATGCCACTGTCTTAAAGAGACTCGCTTTAGATGCACACACACCTACAGATTGAAAGTGAGGGGTAGAAAACCATTTATCATGCTAATAAAGCTGGGATGGCAATCCTTACATCAGACATAAACTGTAATAAAAGATGAGGAGGACACTATATCATAATAAAAGAGTCTATCCAGCAAGAAGTTCTAACAATTGTAAATATTTATGCCCCTAACATGGGAGCAGCCTGTTACATAAACCAATTAATAACAAAATTAAAGCAACACATTGATAATAATACAGTAATAGTAGGAGACTTTAACACTCTGCTTGCTGCAATAGACAGATCATATAAGCAGAAGATCAACAAGGAAACAACGGCTTTGAATGACACACTGGACCAGATGGACTTCACAGATATATTCAGAACATTCCATTCTAAAGCAATAGAACACACATTCTTCTCATGTGTACATGGGACGTTCTCCAGAGTAGATCATATACTGGGTCACAAATCGGGTCTCAACTGGTACCAAAAGATTGGGATCATTCCCTGCATATTTTTGGACAACAATGCTTTGAAACTAGAACTCAAACACAAGAGAAAATTTGGAAAGAATTCAAATGTATGAAGGCTAAAGAGCATCCTACCAAAGAATGAATGGGTCAACCAGGAAATTAAAGAAGAATTTTAAAAATTCATGGAAATAAATGAAAATGAAAATAAATGTTGGGGATGCAACAAAGGCAGTCCTAAGAGGGAAGTATATAGCAACACAAGCCTTTCTCAAGGAACAAGAAGGGTCTCAAATACACAACCTAATCTTACATGTAAAGGAGCTGGAGAAAGAAGAGTATTTAAAAAAAAAAAAAAAGCCTAAGCCCAGCAGGATAAGAGGATTGATAAAGATTAGAGCAGAAATCAATGAAATAGAAAACAAAAGAACAGTAGAACAGATCAACAAAATAGGGGCTGGTTCTTTGAAAGAATAAGATTGATGGGCGCCTGTGTGGCTCAGTGGGTTAAGCTTCTGCTTTCGGCTCAGGTCATGATCTCAGGATCCTGGGATCAAGCTCTGCATCAGGTTCTCTGCTCAGCAGGGAGCCTGCTTCCCCCGCTCTCTGCCTGCTGCTCTGCCTACTTGTGATCTCTCTCTCTCTCTCTCTCTCTGTGTTAAATAAATAAAATCTTAAAAAAAAAATAAGATTGATAAATCCCTGGCCAGACTTACAAATAGAAAAGAGAAAGGACCCAAATAAAATCATGAGTGAAGGAGGAGAGCTTACAACCAACACTGAAGAAATACAAATAGTTATAAGAACATATCGTGAGCAATTATATGCCAACAAATTAGTCTGGAAGAAATGGATGCATTTGTAGAGATGTATAAGCTACCAAAACTGAAACAGGAAGAGGACCCATAACCAGCAAGGAAATTGAAGCAGTAGTCAGAAGTCTCCCAACACACAAGAGCCCAGGGCCAGATGGCTTCCCAGAGGAATTCTACCAGACATTTAAAGAAGAATCAATACCTGTTCTTCTGAAGCTGTTTCAGAAAATCAAAATGGATTGGAGTTTCGTACGTAGCAGAGCAGCTCCCTCGCTGCGATCTATTGAAAGTCAGCCCTCGACACAAGGGTTTGTAAAAAATTTTTTAAAAATAAATAAAAAATTAAAAAAAAATCAAAATGAAAGGAAAACTTCCAGACTCTCTTAAAAGGATTATTCACCACGAACAGGTGGGATTTATTCCTGGGTTGTAAGGTTGGTTCAGCATCCACAAATCAGTCAATGCAATAAACTACATAAACAAGAGAAAGAATAAGAATGAACCTTATGATCCTGTCGCTAGATGCAGAAAAAGCATTTGACAAAGTTCAGCATCCTTTCTTGATTAAAACTCTTCAAGGTGTAGGGATAGAAGAGACATATCTCAATATCAATAAAAGCCATCTATGAAAAACCCATAGCGGGGGCACCTAGGTGGCTCAGTTGATTGGGTGGCTGCCTTCAGCTCAGGTCATGATCCCGGAGTCCCGGGATCAAGCCCCGCATCAGGCTCCTTGCTTGGCAGGGAGCCTGCTTCTGTCTCTGCCTCTACCTCTGCCTCTCTTCCTGCTTGTGCTCTTTCTATCTCTCTGTCAAATACATAAATAAATAAAATCTTTAAAAAAAAAAAAAAAGCCCATAGTGACTATCATTCTCAGTGGGGAAAAACTGAGAGCTTTCCCCTGAGGTCAGGAACACAGCAGGGATGTCTGCTGTCACCACTGCTGTTCAGCATAGTACTAGAAATCCTAGCCTCAGCAATCAGACAACAAAAAGAAATAAAAGACATCCAAATCAGCAAAGAAGAAGTCAAACTCTTTTTGCAGATGACATGATACTCTATGTGGAAAACCTAAAAGACTCAACCCCAAAATTGCTAGAACTCATACAGAAATTCAGTAAAGGAGCAGGATAGAAAATCAATGTACAGAAATAAGTTGAGTTTCTGTATACCAGTGAGCCAGAGGGAAGAGAAATTAAGAAGTCGATCCCATGTACAATTGCACCCAAAACCATACGATACCTAGGAATAAACTTAACCAGATAGGCAAAGGAGTTGTACTCAGAAAACTATAGAACACTCATGAAAGAAATTGAGGAAGACACAAAGAAATGGAAAAACGTTCCATGCTCCTGGATTGGAAGAACAAATATTGTTAAAATGTCTATCTAGAGAAATATATACATTCAGTGCAATCTGTATTAATATACCATCAACTTTTTTCACAGAGCTGAAAAAAGTAATTCTAAAAGTTGTATGGAACCAGGAAAGTCCCCAAATAGCCAAAGGAATATTGGAAAAGAAAACCAAAGCTGGTGGCATCACAATGCCAGACTTCAAGCTGTATTACAAAGCTATAATTATCAAGACAGTATGGTACTGGCCCGAAAACAGACACATAGATCAGTGGAACAGAATAGGGAACCCAGAAATGGACCCTTAACTCTATGGTCAACTAATCTTTGACAAAGCAGGAAAGAATGTCCAGTGGAAAAAAGACAGTCTCTTCAACAAATGGTGTTGGGAAAACTGGACAGCCACATGCAGAAGAATGAACCTGGACCATTTCCTTACAGCATGCACAAAAATAGACTCAAATGGATGAAAGACCTAAATGTGAGGCAGGAATCCATCAAAATCCTAGAGAACACAGGAAGTAACCTCTTTGTCCTTGGCTACAGCAACTTCTTGCTAGACATGTCTCGAAAGGCAAGAGAAACAAAGGCAAAAATGAATGACTAGGACTTCCATCAAGGTAACAATCTTTTTTTTTTTTTTAAGATTTTATTTATTTATTTGACAGAGATCACAAGTAGGCAGAGAGGCAGGCAGAGAGAGAAAGGAGGAAGCAGGCTCCCTGCTGAGCAGAGAGCCTGATGCGGGGCTCCATCCCAGGACCCTGAGATCATGACCTGAGCCGAAGGCAGAGGGCTTTAACCCACTGAGTCACCCAGGTGCCCCAAGGTAAAAAGCTTTTGCACAGCAAAGGAAACAGTAGATAAAACAAAAAGACAACCCACAGAATGGGAGAAGATAATTGCAAATATCTAGTATCCGGTATCTATAAAGAAGTCATCAAACTCAACACCCAAAGAACAAATGACCCAATCAAGAAATGGGTAGAAGATATGAACAGACATTTCTCCAACAAAGACTTACAAATGGTCAACAGACACATGAAAAAATGCTCAACATCACCTGGCATCAGGGAAATACAATCAAAACCACAGTGAGATACTACCTCACACCAGTCAAAATGGTTATAATTAACAAGTCAGGAAACGACGGGTGTTGGCAAGGATGCGGAGAGAGGGGAACCCTCCTACACTGCTGGTGGGAATGCAAACTGGTGCAACCACTCCGGAAAACAATATGGAGGTTCCTCAAAAAATTGAAAATAGAACTACCCCAGAACCCAGCAATTGAACTACTGGGTGTTGTGATGCGAAGGGGCACCTGTACCCCAATGTTAATGGCAATGTCTACAAGATGTAGCAGTAATGTCTACAAGAGCCAAACCATGGAAAGAGCTCAGATATCCATCGACAGATGAATGGATAAAGAAGATGTGGTGTGTATATAGAATGGAATACAACTCAGCCATCAAAAAAATCTTGCCATTTGCAATGATATGGATGGAACTAGAAGGTATTATGTTAAGCAAAATAAGTCAAGCAGAGAAACACCGTTAAATGATCTCAGTTATATGTGGGATTTAAGAAACAAAACAGAAGATCATAGGGGAAGAGAGGAAATACTAAAACAAGATGAAATCAAAGGGAGACAAACCATAAGAGGCTCTTGATGAATGGAGGTGGACTGAGGGTTGCTGGAGGGAAGAGGGGTGGGGAGATGCGGTAACTGGGTGATGGGCATTAAGGGGGGGGGTATGTGATGTAATGAGCACTGGGCATTATATAAGACTGATGAATCACTGAACTCTACTTCTGAAACTAATAATGTTATATGTTAATTAATTGAATTTAAATTCAAAAAATTTAAAAACCTTTAAAAGAAAAGAGTAGCAACAAATACTACCCATGCAAATGAAAATATCAGTTACTATTTTCTAACGATAAAATGGCCATACTAAGGCAGGAAGATCAGCAAGGAGGAAGACTGCAGAAGTAGGTAGGCTGGAAGTTTCATAAATGAGACCTCTTGTGGAACATGGTTTGGGTCCATTGACTTTCTGAATGACAGCACGTAGGCCCCACCGCTACTGAGTTAAATGTTTTGCATAAAAAGAAGGGTAATCTCTAGGACAGTAGAAGCCCAGACTCTAATACTTGGGTAAAAAAGTGGTTACCTTGTACTGAATGGGGGACAGAAGCTTCCAGGGGCGGTGGTGGATGGTGCCGTGGAGTGCCGAGTAGGAGGGGTTGGACAACCCACACATCTTAGCCCTCCTCCTTTCACATTTGTAGGTTGTCTCCAAACACCATGGTGACCCCCCACAAGAAGAGCATGCTGGGAAATGGGAACTACGATGTGAATGTCATTATGGCAGCACTTCAAACCAAAGGCTATGAAGCTGTCTGGTGGGACAAACGCAGGTAATCTGAACCAGGCTCGCCTTGATGAGAACTGGCACTCGGGCGTGAACGGGGAGGTGCTTCTGACGGGAACCTCGGGGAACTGACACCATTTCTCTCCTGCAGGGATGTCAGTGCCATTGCTCTCACGAACGTCATGGGCTTCATCATGAACCTGCCCTCCAGCCTGTGCTGGGGTCCACTGAAGTTGCCTCTCCAAAGGCAGCACTGGATCTGTGTCCGAGAGGTGGGCGGTGCCTACTACAACCTCGACTCCAAACTGAAGATGCCCGAGTGGATTGGAGGCGAGAGCGAGCTCAGGTAGCCGTTGTGAGTGGGCTGGACTCCTTCCTTTGCTGTGTTGGGGAAGTTGAGCCCGTCTTTGGTTATTTGACAAAGGAGACGAAATCCTAGCTCCTTGGATCCTCTCCCCACCCTGCTTAGAATCAGGGTCTCAGACTTGAAAGGCCTGTATGTTTGATGGCTCGTGAGGGTGTGAAGTCCCTTTGGTAGAGACGTTCCAGCAGCCAGAACGCTGGCTTCTGGTCTGGTGGGACTGGCATCGGAACACTGTCTACTCTTGGACAACCGGGTTGGTCTAGCTGCCACTTCAGAAGAAGGCAGACAGACATTTAGACCAGAGAGGGCTAAATTTCCCTGAGACCAAAGAAGCAGCTTTTTTTTTAAATTTATTTATTTTTTAAACAATGAGGAGTCCCTTGATTACTTTGGGGCAGCTCTGTTCCTCACAGAATAGATGCTGGTGGCAGTTATATGAGGATGAGTGGAAATTCAGGGTGGAAATGAGCTGGGCAGCTTGAAGGGGGAGCCACATGTGAATTCCTGTAATAACAGATCCCTCCAAGAGGGTCAGAGGTCTGCCAAGGCATAAATGAGGTCACTGGGGAGCACGTGGCCCCAAGACTGGAATGTGCAGTTTTACCAGCATTTCATTTTCTCTCTCATCTACCTTTGTTCCCGTAGGAAATTCCTCAAACATCACTTGCGAGGAAAGAACTGTGAACTCCTGCTGGTGGTGCCGGAAGAGGTGGAGGCCCGTCAGAGTTGGAGGGCTGACGTGTAACGCAGTGCTACCCAACCTTCCCTCACCTCGGCCCCCCAAGTCCTCTGTCATGTGCTGTGGCCTCTGCAGTGGGTCTGCCCTTGCCACTTCCCCAAACATCTCACTGGGTTCCCCCTCAGATTTGACAGTGCTGTAGGACAGACAGACGTGTGGGCTGTGACGAGAACCACCACCCAACATGACATGAGACAGGAAGGTAGGAGCTCTGTGGGCTTAGGGTGACCTGTGGAAGAGAGGAGAAAGGTGGGTCCTAGCTTATCTTCGCCATTCCTGCGAGAACTTGACAGAGGCGCTGCTGGAGTGCACTGCTGCTGTGACACCTCGAGATGCTGCCTCCACTTCCCCTTTCCTGATCTGGAGACACAGTACATGCAAAGCCCATGTGACTGGCTGGATGGACCCAGAGCATGAGGGCCTCTCAGGAAACCATCTCCAAAACCCCAGCGGTGGTACAGCATGCCATCTCCATCCCTTAAGGCCACCCATTACCCCCATTTTTGAGGGTGGTTCCTGGCCATCCTTCAAGTTTTCTAATGAAACATTCTCTAGTATTCCATGTCGGGTGGTTGAATCCTGCGGCATCCTAGTGTGACAGGGTGAGCTAGATACCGAAGAGGCCGTGGTGGAAGCAGACTGGGGCAGGCACAGAGGGCCTGTTGCCTCCCTCCAGTATTGTCCCTGCCACTTCACTACATTGATTTTGGACGCTCTGGGGCACAAGACAGGCCAGAGGGCAGTGTTCCCAGTTGACACACTCTGGCAAAATCAGGAAACGCCTAAGTCTGTTCTCAATATCCACTTCCACTAGTTTGAGAAACAGTTGAGTGAGCAAAGTATTACGAAAATAAGCTCCTGAGAGATTAAGAGCAGCTAGAATTGGCAGAAGCCTAGGCTCCGAGTCACTGTGGTGAGAAGAATCAGAACCTGCAAGTTGGGTGTTTACGCGCATTATGTATGGCACCTGGATTTGTCATCTTTCTTTAGTTTCCTTTACAAATCAGCGAGAATCCATCCACCCCCTACCTCTTTAAATAGTTGTAGCCCACTTTTCTCCTGTAACTTTGGAAAACAAGAGAAGGGGAGGGGAAGTATCCCACCACATTGGGTGTCACCAGGGTGGTTGTGGTTGCCTCAAGGCAGGAGGGCAGGCGGAGACAGCCTGCCTGCCCCTTTCACATGGGTGGTCTTGGTGGGTCTGAGAGCTGCCCCCACTGGCCAGACGTCTCTCCAACAGCAAAGCCAGCCTGGGGCTTGCATGTCAAGCCTGAGCAAGCTTAACAGGATGAAGCTGAGGCTTTCTCCCCACTGTGACTGGAGTGCATGTTTACACCAGCACTTTTTCTGCACATGTATCTTCAATCCAACAAGGCCGTTTTTTATGCTGAGTAACCGAGGCCACCAAGCGGCTTTTGCATCACACCTTCTCGGCAACTGGCTGCAGTCTCTTCTGCACCGTTTTCCATACCAGACCTGCTTGGCACCACAGGGAGCTCTTTACCCTTGCACAATGACATTCCAACCACCACCAGCCAGAAGTTACAGCCAACCTGATTGTCACAAGCAGGACCTTGGGTCCATGGGCACTGTCAGTGATAGTAAGCCATTTCCTGGGAGGAGGGGGAAACTCCTCTCCACCCATCTGCTTGGGCCTGTGCAAATGGCACTTCAGAGGAGTCCCTGTGCACTTGGGAGTCCATGAGCCAACGGGATATGCAAAGACGCTTAAACATTTCAGGGCTGGTTTCTCTGTTCATATCCAATTTTGGTGCTTAGGAACAGGGACCCATGCTGATGCCCAAGGGCAAAAAGCCCACTTCAAGGAAGGGGGCAGGCCTGACCCTGATGCCCAATAAGGGGCAACCCTAGGCTTTTTGTTTTTCTTGCTTTTATTCCTTTTTTTGTTGGCCTTGTGCTGGGTTTGTTTACAAAAGATGTATTTTGTTTAACCAAATATTAAAAATGGAAAACTCCGTACATAAATCTCATCTGTCTGCCTGAATTCTGTAATTACGTATGTGGAGGGAAAAAAAGTAAACTTTAGTATGATGATGCGTAGAAGAAAAACTCACTACCATCATAAGCCATCTTTTAGAGCTGTACTGTGCTTTGGTTAAATCTCTCGCTTCAAAAACCCAGACAAGATACTCACCTCGCGGGATTTGGTTCAAAAGCCTGAGGCATTTTTCAGTTTACAAAAACTAGACTCAACAATCTGAGGAATCCCAATTTAAGTATAAGTTTTCTTTACCAGCACTATCTGGTTAACAAGGTGAAGAGCACACAGCAGAGGGCCTGCTGAGTTTGAATTCAGATCCAGCATTTCCTAGGCAGTCTGGCAGATTACTTAACCTTTCTGTGACTGTTTGCTCCTCTGTAAAATAGGAATAGTACTATCCCCTAAACTGTACAGTAATATTCTGATAAATACAAAAGGCTCAGTACTGTTAAGAGCACAGTGCTAATAGAAATTTTTGTTAAACGGAGAAACTGCAAAGTTCAAAGACAGGGCTACAGTTGGATTCATGATCAGCTCAGTGCAGCAATTATTTAAAAAAAAACAAAAAAAAAAGTTCTATTTGCTACTCTTCCCTCCCTAGACCAGAAATCAGTACTATGTCATTCCCTATAAATCCTTTATGACTGTGTCTCTGTAGACTGTACAAGTACATGGACCCAGTCCCTACTGGATCTGAAAATCATGGCCTGAATTAGGACAGAGATTACTATTAAAAGGTTTTTGGCCAGAAATGAAACCCCTTTTTCACTTTCGCAAGTTTAACTAACTTGGACAGTGAGGGGTCAAACTGTTAAAAGGTGGTGCTAGCTTTGCTGAGAGGAAATGTGAGGACCAGTCTGAATAAGTGATTTCGAGGTGTGGATCACAAGTTACATAGATGACAGTTTCCATTGGAATCGTTTTTAATATTTAAATACAAAAAGTGAGCACTTACTTTTTTTTCTTTTTTAGACAGACACACAGGTCTCTCATAGCCAAAATGGGCAGAGGAAATGAGCTCCTGCTTTGTCCTCCACAGTCCCCATCCTATGGTCGAAATTGCTGTCCGGCCCTCCCTCCTTTCCAACATAGAAATTCACAGTGGCTGCTTTACACTATGGCTGTAACGCATAATGTATTTCATATCGTGTGCACGTCCCTTCCCAACATCTCCATGCTTAAAAACAAAAATGGTCATGGGGATATCCTTCCCAGTGGCGTCAGTTCCTATGCCACAATGGGATAGTGAGATCTTCCGGTCATGAGGGATTTAGTGAAAGGGGTGGGATGGCCAGAGCTGGAGTAACCGTCTGCACTGCTGCATTCTGGTATCAGAGTGAGAACAGAAGAAATGGGACAACGTGGAGGGCACAGCTGCAAGTTGGGAGTCTCTGTGAGACACTGGGGAGAATTCTCCCCACCAGGTTTAGATAGATCAATGTGCCAAAGTTTAAAAAAAAAAAAAAAAATCCAAATAATCAGCAGTTCAAACACTATTGAATTTTCAAACTTGTCCCACCAAGACAAGTCTAGCAGTAGCAATCTAGATCTTTCCAGGAAGTGAAGGTAGAGCTCCTGGCATTCCTCCTGAGAGCCCTGTGTTAGGCCCTAGAAGTATCTGAAAAAGAAAAAGAGGGGTATACGGCATCATACAAGCCTAGGGATCACATTTCCACTATAACGGACAGGGCAGACAAGGTCTACACACACCAGTGAGCACAGTGTGGTACGTAAAAGAGCAGGGGCTGGATCCCAATCTCACCCCACAAGAACTGCTGGTCTACCCAGGGGCTGGGCTCACCTGCCGCTGCTGCAGTTGTTGCTGTTGCTCCATTTGCAACTTCTCCGTCTCAAAAACAACAGGAAGAACCAGGATCATGAAGGAAGTGGTCCCAATCCACAAGGCTGCCCTGGAAAACCTGCAGAGGGAGTGTGAGCATGACAGCCAGACACAAAACCAGATTGCTTCACCAAGGAACCAGCAACCAAAGCTCTCACACTCCCATGTTGTTGATAGGCATGTTCTACCCAACCCTTGCACCATACTCCTACCAGAAACAGGACCGGCAGTTCTGCCGGCTGTTTATCTAATGCCAGCAGTTCTAAGATTCTGTGTTCTTACAAAGCTACTTACACAGCACAGTAATTACCTCACATGATGTGAAACGATCCTCCCAACGACCCTGTCCCATAGGAATTACCACTTTAAGGAAAGGAAATTGAGACCAAGAAAGGTTAAGGTTCCCACCAGCCCAAGGTCACTCTGATCTAAGTGGCAGGCTGGCCTCCAACTCCCGCCTCCTACTCTGAAAGCCCACGCTCGTTCAGTCACCCCAGAAACACCCCAATGTCTTTGCCCTCGTCCCTTACCTGTACATTTTCTGAGCCACAAAGAGGGAGAGATCAAAAGTGGCTCCAGCCGCGGACCGGACCCTCTCTGGGAACATCTCCGTCAGACCCCACAGTCTCTCCGACAGGGTCTCATCTAGCTGTGGTGGAGGCGGCGCGGGTCTTCACCGAAGCAATAGCAACCACCCCGTGTGGATAGGGTACCCCGCCCCGGCCCACTGGGGGCCCTAACCCCGCCTCCCGGAGAAGACACCTCCCCTCCGACCTCTCCCGGCTCCGCGACGCGCCTTCGTCCGAATCCCGCAGCACGCGGAGCTCACACCCCCGGGCGGGCCCCTGCCCGCCCGTAACCTCGCACCCCGCCTCACACCGCAGGGTCCCAGTACCTCCTCGTCGTCTTCCTCCTCCAACTCCTCCTCAGTCTTCTCGGAATCGCCTTTCGGAAGCAATTCGTCCGGGGACAGGGGCGCCCCGGGACCGCCAGCGGCGGCGGCGGCGGCCATGGCTGCAGGGGAACACCGGAAGCGGAAGAGAGGAGGCAAGTGCAGAGGCCCTGGCGGACAGAGGTGCTCTTCCGGGAGCCAGAGGCTGAAGCGCTGTGGAAGAGCGACGCCTCCTGGCCGGCGGACTTCGGCTTTCCGCCAAGTCCGAAACACCTGGGAAATTTTGTCCAGGTATGGAGTTGTGGTGCTTCCGCGGTAATTCTCTTCGGTTTAGGGTGTGCCCAGAAACCCTCATTTTAATAAGGTCCCACGGGTTACACTGAGACAAACACTAATGCAGTCTCATTTCCCGGAGGGGTGTGTTATCTGGTAGGTGTGTTATCTGGTAGGTAGAGACTTGGAGGTTTATTGGTCTTTTGGGGAAACGTTGAGTGAACGG